ATTTCTCTGCGGCCCGGTAGCAAATACGTCACGGCCCGGTATCGGTTCCCGGCCCGGTGGTTGGGGACCACTGCTGTAGACCTCCAGCTGCAGCGTGCTGCGATCAAAGGGCTACGTTGCATGCTGTAAAAACGTGCCCATAGTCAGTGCACGTGTTTCTCAGCGCGCTCCCCATCACCTCCCCCCCAAATCCCCCAAGCGGGTGCGCACCGGGCCGCGATTTTGTTGTTGTTTCTGTACCGGTCCGCAGCAGGAAAAAGGTTGGGGACCCCTGCTGTAGACCAGGTACCCAACATCAGCCGCATCCGTTACCGCGCGGTGCTTGTGGGAAAAGTAGTTCTAACACTTTACGTGCAATTTATCGAAATAATAAACATTTTCACGGGCCAACAAAAATACATTAAGGACATTATTCTGCCCCCTGGACGAGTGTCTGACATGCCTTGTCTTTATAAAGCCTCATGCCATTTGTTGCAGCAAGACAAAACGGCTAACAGAACAAGCACCTAATCCGACATAGTTTGGTCCTTCACTCTGACCAATATACACAACGCACGCAGTCCTGAACATGCACATAACATAAATAAAAAAATCTTACCTTTAAGCGAGAAAAAAATCGAAGAGAAGCAACAATCAAAGTGAAAAGTACAGGAGCCCGCCAAGTCGCCGGCAGTGAGTCCTGGACCATGGAATTCAAACGTGATATCCCTCCGCAACAAACGTCATTGCGGAGGGAATGCATATATATATATATATATATATATGCAGTTTGTAGTAGTGTGTTTTTATAATGTGCAGTAGTATTGTAGACATTTATTCATTCAGTTTAAAAAAAAGTAAGATATCATCGTAATAAACGTCACAATGTTGGTTCATCAGCGGTGTTCTACTTTTGAAGGCGTAGGTGGAAGGGGAGCAGTGGGCTGAAATGTGGCAGTACTGAATGCGCAGTGCACTTTCATGTTCGAATGTGTAATCCGCATACACTTTGGCGAGATGAAAACGACGACAAAAAAAAAAAAAGAATAATACTAATAAGAATAATAATTATAATAATAAATGTATCTATATCAATTAGAAACATTTCCTGTAGATTACTAACACAAATATGAGAAGAATTGCATTGCTAATTTTCTTTTTATGTTTTCTTAGGCCTACAAAAACACATTTAAAAAGCCATGCCAAAATTACTTTTGGCTATAATGCTATTTATTGAGTAATATTATTTGGCCCACTAAGTAATGGAAACTAAACCAATCTTTCAGAGAAATACTGGGAAATTGGTGTCAATTGTATAGGTAGGCTACTAGCTTTGATAATCGTATTATTTTATTTTAGTAGTGTAAACACCATTTGTCATACGTTGTAAACATATCTGTGAATGAAATAACAAACACTGATGGGCTGGGACCTTTCTGGGTGAACTATGCATGTTCTACACATGTCTGCGTAAGTTTCCTGCAGGTTCTCTGGTTTTTCCCTACGACTACAAATGTGTTCAATAGCTCTCTATTTCCTCATCAGCGGGACTTTCCTGTTAAATAAAGGTAAAAAAAATATATAAATATACAATATATGGACACTGAGATTAAATAACAATGGTCCATGGTTGTGCATGAGGGTTTGTAAGCACATTTAGGAAATATCTTTTCTCAACTATTCATTACTTTCAGGGTTTGATAATGGAGTAACTCAGGTAGTGCTGCGGAGATGTCATCGCCAAAATGGGAGAACAATGCACTTTATGAAATGGGGAGACATGGTGGCTTAGCGCTCATACTTCAGTTACAATGTCCGGAGTTCAATCCCTGGATATAGGTTTCCTCCTAGTACCCCGGTTCCCTCTACCACTAACATATGTACAACAGGTTAATCCTCCAGCCAAATGTTTCTAACCACCCCATAGGTTGCCCTATGCAGAGTGGCATTGAAGATGGGTCAAATGCAGAAAACGAATTACCCCTAACGGGGATTAATAAAGTAACAACAATCTTACATATCAATCCATGGAGAAACTCTGGCACAAGGAGCAATAGTTACCTCAGTGTGTTGATGAGGCATTTTTCTCTGTTACCAACCAAACATGTGTGTTAAACTACTCTCTATAGCAGGGGTCACCAACGTTGTGCCCTTTGGTGCATGCCCAGTAACCCTTGAGACTCTTCTTTCTAAGGTGTAAAACAATTAATTTTCTTCAATCTGATTCTTAAAAATACAGTTATTTCTGTTCTTGGGACTCAGTACGACTTTCAAATGAAGCTATTTCGATATAATATGTGGTCAATATCCTATAAATAAACAGTGTATGTTTAAGTCTTTAGGTAGCTTTTTTTTTCTTGAAGTAGCCCTCAGCTGAAAAAAGGTTGGTGACCCCTGCTCTATAGTGTGCCTACAGTCTCATCATGAAGGAGACTAAGCCCTGTGCAGTGTAAGAGAGAACAGCATACTGGCAGAGGCACATGTACACATCACTAGACTGGCATTGTGTGATTTTGTTGTGCCAATGATGATGTGTGTGCAGCACATTAAAACTCCTAGGTTTAGGTTTTGATTTTCGTTTACACTGATACTTGTTTGTCTGCATTTAACCCATCCTTCGATGCCGCGATTGTCGACAAAGTTAACCGTTAGAAAGTTGTGCTTTTGTTTAACTGATAACTATTCAATTTCTCTTCTTCAGTCTATTATCCAATATGAAATCTAAATGATGCCAGTATACTTTTTCACTATAAAAAATCCCTAGTCCGGCCATTAATACAACTGCAGGCCTCAGTTTGGTGAGTAAATTCTACTCACCAAACTGACGCTGTGGCTGTATGGGTGCTGTCCTGTGGGTGCCCAAGTGGAGGTGTGGTGTCTCTGCAGCGCCTCCTATGGGGATCCTTGTGTCGGTGCCCGGGCGGCCACGGTTGGTCTGCTGCTCCGGGAGAGGACAGCTCCTCTGATGGGGTTTCCTCACCTTGATCATCTGTACCCAGCCTTATGTACTTGATTTTAATTATGAGTGTGAGTTTGAGTGTAAAGCAAAGGGTAGGGGGTCTAGGTGTGTGTGTGTATTGTGATAACTGTATGGGGAGGGTTTGACGGGCGAGAATGTTTTTAATGTATTCTTAAATGTCAAGCACTTTGCGATGCACCTGTGTATGAAAAGCGCTATATAAATAAAGATTCATTGATTGATTGATTTGGGTTGTTTATCTGGGACCTAGACGAGTCAAACTATGTGGGCACTACATAGGGCATACCAGGTCTAGCCCATACCTATTTAGCCCACTTGAACTTTAAATGGGCCCCATATAGTTAGCCCATGTGGGTTGCTCATGTGGGGCCTATTCAAGTCAAACTATATGGGCCCTACATAGGGCATCCCAGCCTTAGCCCATGTCAGTTTAGCCCACTTGAACTTTAAATGGGCCCCATATAGTTAGCCCACGTGGGTTGCCCATGTGGGGCCAATTCAGGTTAAACTATATGGGCCCTACATAGGGCATCCCAGCCTTAGCCCATGTCAGTTTAGCCCACTTGAACTTTAAATGGGCCCCATATAGTTAGCCCATGTGGGTTGCCCATGTGGGGCCTATTCAGGTTAAACTATATGGGCCCTACATAGGGCATCCCAGCCTTAGCCCATGTCAGTTTAGGGCCCCATATAGTTAGCCCATGTGGGGCCAATTCAGGTTAAACTATATGGGCCCTACATAGGGCATCCCAGCCTTAGCCCATGTCCAGTTTAGCCCACTTGAACTTTAAATGGGCCCCATATAGTTAGCCCATGTGGGTTGCCCATGTGGGGCCTATTCAGATTAAACTATATGGGCCCTACATAGGGCATCCCAGCCTTAGCCCATGTGTCAGTTTAGCCCACTTGAACTTTAAATGGGCCCCATATAGTTAGCCCATGTGGGTTGCCCATGTGGGGCCTATTCAGGTTAAACTATATGGGCCCTACATAGGGCATCCCAGCCTTAGCCCATGTCAGTTTAGCCCACTTGAACTTGAAATGGGCCCCATATAGTTAGCCCATGTGGGTTGCCCATGTGGGGCCAATTCAGGTTAAACTATATGGGCCCTACATAGGGCATCCCAGCCTTAGCCCATGCCCAGTTTGCCCACTTAGAACCCATAAAGGCCCCATTTAGCCAACCCACATGGGCTTTACACCTGGGCCCCATGTATGTTAAACTATATGGGGCCCATTAACTTTTGCCCAGTTTTATCCCATGCCCATTTAACCCACAACAGACCCATATGGGGCCCAGATCACAGCCCATGTGGGCATCACATATGGGGCCCACATTAGCAAACCCTTCTGGGCCCCTCAAAATTTGCCCTGGTCAAGCCCATGCCCAGTCAGTACCCATCTTGCCCACTTGTGGCCCATGTGGGGCCCACATTGCTTTGCTGGCTGGGTTGTAATCCCTTTCTTTACTCGTTACTCAGAAAAATGTAATTGGATTACAGTAATGCATCACTTTTATCACTAACCAACACTAATTAAAACTGGGATACCTGACTTTAGGCCCCTCCGATCACCACCAACCATTCATACACACACCAGACTCATTCTAGGCAATGGGGGTGAAGTGTCTTGCCAAGGACACAACGGCAGTATTCAGTGGGAGTCGATGGTGAAAGTCTTGAGCGGGGCTTGAACCCACGACCTTCTGGCTCAAAGGCCAACGCTCTACCAACTGAGCTACTGCCGCCCTGATGTAATGTAATAAAAGCAGTGTTCCTATTGGCTCTAAAACTAGTTTTCACATCATAGAGAGAAATCAGAGAGAGACCGACCAGAGAGACGGCGACTGTATGTTGCTGTATGTAACTGATTGGACAATGCATTGTGGGCTTGTAGCATTTAAATGGTAAGGAGGACATGTGTGTGGAGTTTGCTTGTTTTCGCCATGTCTGTGTTAGAACTCTATAGTTACATGTCTCCTCTCATTTCTAAAAACCTATGGTCCATAGCTGAGTGTGTTGTTGGTGCCTTCTGCCTTCAGGGAGAGTCTGAGGAGGAGGAGGAGAACCTGCCAATCCAGGAGGTATCCTTCGACCCGGAGAAGGCCCAGTGCTGTGTGGTGGAGAATGGTCAGGGTCTGACCCATGGCAGCGGGGGCAAGGGCTACGGTCTGGCCTCCACCGGCATCTCTTCTGGCTGCTACCAGTGGAAGGTTAGTGCAGCTCACCTATCTGAGACACTGTATCAGCCCTCAGGATCAGGAGCTCTAACCCTGTCATCAGGATCAGCAGATATCAGCCCTAATCCTGTCATCACGATCAGGAGACCTCAGCCTGAACCCTGTCATCAGAATCAAGAGACCTCAGCCCCAATCCTGTCATCAGGATCAGGAGACAACAACCCTAACCCTGTAATCGGAATCAGGAGAAGCCAGCCCTAACCCTGTCATCAGGATCAGGAGACAACATCCCCAATGCTGTGTTCACACTAAACCCCAAAGGTTCCAAAGCGTCAGGTTTACATTTAAAATACATGAGGGGACTCGCCACGAGGAGTCCTGCTTCCCGTGCAGCGCATCTCTACGCTTTTTGAAATTTTAAGCATTTGACGCGCCTCCTGGGGCCTCCAACACGGGCAGCGCTAGAGTTGAAAATGTTTAACTTTTAGGAGATCTTCGCGAGTGTCGATCAATCAGGAGCTTTCTCCAACAGTGACGTAGTGACGTATTTCACGACCAGTAAGACAACAGATCATCAACTATTTGTATTTTTTATTTATTTATTTGTTCCTTTCATGAAAATGCTCTGTTCACTTGTTCACATACTAATAGTTACATACATATTTTAAACATTTACATGAAGGAAAGGAGCAGAAAAGAAGAATACAATTATGTTTTTCTGCCCCTTTTCAAAATCATATCTACCCTGACCTTTCACGGTACCATTTTAACGAACAAAAAAATACAAAACATTTACATATGTTTTGTTGCAAATTTTGAAGCCGCGGACCCGCTGGCCTCGCTCTTTCTGCTCCCCTCCCCGCACCCGCGAAGCTATTGCCCCCCGCACACACCCACTGTTGTTTATGGAGCTAGCGTCTGCCAATATGGATATTATGGATATATGGATTTGCACGTGGATGGCGTGACCATAGAACGATGGAACCGGGAAGCGCGGAGGAACGGGACTTTCTTTTGGATGGCTGTTTCACTGTGTAAGCAGTAACCGGTGACGAAGACACGAAGCTTCAGGTTAGCTCCGCCGCTTGTTGTGCTAACTCAGCCGTCTATGCTAACGAAGACCTGTAGATTTCTCACGAAAGTGGGGGCTAGTGGTGCGCTGTGATTGGTCACAATTTGCGACCCGAAACACATTCTCTTCCTTGTTTCATCAAAACTCGATCTAAGATATAATGTCACGCCAGCACAAATCTGCGCTACTTTTTCTTCAAAAGGACGTATATCCCAATGCACTACATGGACATGGATGGCATTTTCGTTATGAATACAAAAATAAAGTCAGTTAGTGCAGCTTTAAACAATACATCCTATCAATCAAGAAGTTTATGTGATTCATTAGATTTTTTTTTTACTTTTAAAATTGAACGATATTTTGACAACGTTTTGATTCATTCTCCTGAGCATTCCACAGTATTACACCTGTAACAGATAAGCACATGGCACATGTTTTAATGTTGTTCGTGCAAACTGATGTTTAAAGTCAAACCTTCTCCTAGAGTTTTCATTTTCTGACGTAACAATAAACATCCATCCATCCATCCATCTTCTTCCCCTTCCCCTCCATTTCTGGGTCGGGGGGGTGGCAGTCAGAGCTGCACCCAGTACACAGAGCACCAGCCCCTCACTGATCCTCCTGCAGGTGGTGAGTCCACAGGAGCTGAGATCTTTCAGCGGAGGCTTTGGGCAAAGTAGGGTTAAGTGTCTTGCCCAAGGACACAACGACAGCAGTCATCAGTGGGAGTTGTGAAGTAGGTCTTACGGTGGGTTTGAACCCACGACCTTCAGGCTCAAAGGCCAATGCTCTACCAACTGAGCTACTGTCGCCCCAACGTAACAATAAACAGTGTTTATATAATTTCAGGTAGTGCTGCATCTCTGGCTTTAAACATGACTAATAATGTCTGCAATTCTACTATATTTTTTAATTTCAACAATTTGGACCTAATGAATAGTGAGTTTGTATGTTCTCGAAATGCAGCTCTTTGTATTATTCGGACGGCTCTTTTCTGTAGTAAGGATAATGGCTTTATATGGCTTTCATAAGTGTTACCCCACACTTCTACACACTAAGTAAAATAAGGCAAAATCATAGAACAATATAACATTTGCAATATGTGGGCGGGTAACATGTATTTATTTGTTCAAAATGAATACGCTTTTCGATACTTTATTTTTCACATACATTATATGTGGTTTCCATGTTAAACTGTCACCAAGGAATTTTATTTCATTCACTCTTTCAATAATTGTGCTGTTAATAGATAGAATGACTTCAGTTTTTTTTTAACCAAATACCATAAACTTTGTTTTTGCTAGATTTAAAGATAATTTGTTGTCGTGCAACCAGGTTTTCAGTTTTACCATTTCTTTTCTAATATTTTCAGCCAGGTCTTTTAGATCATTTCCAGAAATGAAAAAGTTGGTGTCATCTGCAAACAACACAAACTGTAATAACTTTGACACTTCACAAATGTCATTTATATATAAAATAAAAAGTTTAGGTCCAATATTCGAACCTTGAGGAACTCCACACTTGATATTCAAGCATGTTCAGATTCAGATTCATTTTATTAGCCATGTGCAGTATGTTGATCTCTCACCTCCAAATTCTGTATATTGCTGCCTATTTTCCAAATAGCTGGTTAACCAATTCAAGACTACTTCTCTTATTCCATATGAATATAATTTAGATATTAGAATAGAATGATCTACATTGTCAAATGCCTTTTTCAAATCAATAAACACTTCTATAGTATATTTCTTTTCGACTGCTGTTGATATTTCTTCTACAATTTTTGTTAAAGCCTAGTAATGTATTTGTTTCTATAAAGCTGTCCAGTTTTATAGGATTTTATAAAAAAAATTCTAATAAGAAATCAATGACACTGCTTCAACTATGGAGGACACATGAATCTATTATAGGACACGCTGATTATCCGTGCTCGTTCAGAGCTGTATAACCCCGCGGACTATAACTACTGTGACAGAAATAAAAAAGGACCTGGACCGATCCATGGGAAGACCACAGGAAGACAACAGATCATCAACTATGGAGGACAAGCTCAAAGGAGAGCAAGAAGGAGCAGGAGCAGGAGCAAGAAGGAGCAGCAAGAAGTCGCTTCGCTTTTTTCCCACTTGTTTAGACGCGCGCCCAGAACGTTCGGTAACAGTGTCTGTCGTCAGTAAGCACAAGCGTCCAACTAGGTGCTTTGGCTGCGTTTTTGACGCCCGAGAAACGTGCGTAACCCTGTCATCAGGATCAGGAGACACTAACCCAAACCCTGTCATCAAGAACAGCAGACCTCAACCCTAACCCTGTTATTCGGAGACACCAACAACGGATTAAGCGGAAGAAAATGGATGGATAGATGGACAAATTTATGAAAATAATTTTTGATACGTTTACAAGGTTTTGTAATAACTACTTGTTATGTGTGGGTCACTGTTCCAACTGTAACACTGTGCTGTACTGGTTTTTAACTCTTATTATTATTACTTGCTCTGAATCTCTCGTAACGGTCCTTTCTCCCGGTGTCTGCTACAGTTCTACATCGTGAAGGAAAACCGGGGGAACGAGGGTACGTGTGTGGGCGTGTCCCGCTGGCCCGTCCACGACTTTAACCATCGCACCACCTCTGACATGTGGCTGTACCGAGCCTACAGCGGGAACCTCTACCACAACGGAGAGCAGACCCTGACCCTGAGCAGCTTCACCCAGGGAGACTACATCTGCTGTGTGCTGGACATGGAGGCCAGGACCATCTCTTTTGGCAAGAACGGAGAGGTGAGAGAGGGGAGACCACATCTGCTGTATGCTGGACATCGAGGCCCAGACCATCTCCTTTGGCAAGAACAGCGAGGGGAGAGAGGAAAGAAGTGGTGGAGAGAGATAGAAGTAGAAAAGGCACTCTAAAAGTGAAGGCCGTGTGTTCCACCTCTCTCTGCTCTTACAAACACTGTTTAAAGCCATCACTGTCGTCTTTGTAGGAGCCAAAGTTGGCGTTTGAAGACGTGGATGCCACAGAACTTCATCCCTGCGTGATGTTCTACAGCAGCAATCCGGGAGAAAAGGTAAAATGACTCTAACCCAGGGGGTTCAAACTGTTCCTCAATGGGCATCTAAGCAGCACAACACACTCATTTCCTGAAGTCAGTCCAGTCTGGGTCGGAAGGCCTGAAAAAATGGGTGGTGTGCTCCTGCTTGGTCGGAATTGAAACCTGTAGTCGTGCTCATTGGTCTCTCTCTCTCTGATCTCTTTTTGTTCTCTCTCTGTCTGGTCTCTTCCTTTGCTCTTTTTAGCTGATGGCTGTGTGTGTTGACTGTTACAGGTGAAGATCTGTGAGATGCAAATGCGGGGTACCCCACGGGACCTGCTTCCTGGGGACCCTGTTTGCAGCCCTATGGCCACGGTCTTAGCTGAAGCCACCACTCAGCTTATCCGCATTCTACACCGCACAGACCATTGGACCCACCGTATCAACAAGATCATGATTGAGAGGCTCCACAAGATTAAAGTCTGCTTCAAAGTATGTTCCCCAAATCAATACTGCCATGAGTGTATGAGAGGGAGGAGAGGGGAAAGAGTGAGGAGAGAATTCAATTAAATGTATGTTTGTATAACCCAAAACCACAACAGTAGTTCTTTCGGAGGACTTTACAAAATTGTTGATTTGCCAACATAGATCAGAAAATCAAAAAGAGGAAATGCAACAATAAAATACACACTACACACAGCCATTGCTCCAAAAGGGGCGGATGCATGGGTGTAGGTTTGCATTGGGACCATGGGGACATGTCCCCACCAATATTTGGTGAGGACCAAAGTGTCCCCACCAAAATGACATGATGTCCCGGGACCTGGACAATCCGGGGCACATGTCTTCAGTTTGTTCACATCCTTCTCACCTCCAGAGAAATAGCAGCAGCAGCAGAACGTGACCCGTTCCTCTCTCTGCAGTGATTGACTGTCTTCTTGTGCGCCAAACCCTAGCGCTGTGCTACTGTTTACTTTCGTCAGTCAAAGAAGCCATGTAGCCTGGCTGTAGATCTAGATTATTAAAGAATATAGACATATTGTTTGTCCAAAGTTTGCAGACTGTTCCCCTGAGTGGGTCGTGTGCGCGCACATCAGGCGTGTATCTCTGTTTATTTAAACCAGACAATACAATACAATACAATTTATTCTTGTATAGCCCTAAATCACAACAGAAGTCATCTCAGAGGACTTAACAAAACCATTCAAATCACCAACACAGATCAGAGAATCAACAGTTAAGACACAAAATGAATATAGAACACATAAAAAATGTCCATACATGTTATAGCATGTTAAAGTGTCCTGGATCATCACCACATCCTTTTTGTTGGACACTAACTGTCCAACAGACCCTCCTGCATCGGCAATGAAAAACTCACAAAAACCCAGTGGGAAAAAAATAAGAAACCTCAGGGAGACCCACATATTGAGAAAGGGATCCGCTCCACACGGACAGACGGGGTATAGATCCAGGACCCTCTGAACGTGGACAGGTCCGGTGCGGGACTGAAGCACTCCCAGGCGGGTCTGGCAGGGCAGTCCGCAGGTGTAGATGAAGGAGGCCAGGTCCTGTCAGAGGTCCTGTCGTCGTACCATGAAACAGACAATGGGACAACGGGTGTATAGCAACGAACAGACTACAGTCAAAATCCTAATAATGCAAACAGATAAAGTAGAAAGGAGGAGAGGATAGTGCTCAAGTTACCATACTTCTCCCAACGTTGGGTGGATATCATCCGAGCAGATGATACAGGGCTTTCCCCAAAAGGCACTCCAATTGTCAACATAGACAACACCACGTTGTGGGCACCAGCCAGACAGCCAGCGGGTAAAAGCCGAGTGTCTGCTGAATGCTTCTGCGTTGCCGGTGCTAGTAGGTAGGGGCCCAGAGAATATGACAGCGTCAGCCATTGTGCTAGCCAGCTTGCACACGGCGGCGACTTGCAGTTTCAACACCTTAGACTGTTTCCACCAAACGTCATTGCCACCCGCGTGAATAACGATTGTCCTCGTGCAGCCCATCCTAGCTGCGGGGGACGGGCTTGGAGGCTAGGCTCGCTAGTTCTTCTCTGCCTGCGCATCTCTATTCCTGTAGATACGGCCTGGCTATAGCTAATGCTAGTGCTCACAGCTCGAGTGATCGAAGACGCAGCTCTAACTCACTAACCCTGGATTCCAGAGCTACAACTAGACTACACTTAACGCATCTATCACAACCCTCAGAGAAGGATCTAGGGTTTAGACTCGCCATATGGTAGCTCGAGCAGTAAAGGACCGAGAGAGAGGCAGCAGCAGCCATGGGGATAGCGAGCTAGCGGCTAGGCTAGGCTAGCCCAGGCTACGCACCAAAAAGAGTATTTAATCTACGATATATAGTTAAGTCAGTACTGACTTTAGGTCCGAGTTGGTAACAGAGTGAGAGTGCTGTGTGTGTGCCGCTGAAGGGCTCTTGTTTTGGTCCGCGCTGGCACATTGCGCAGACGCCTTCTGCGCCGGGCATGCTGGGAACTGTAGTCTTTGTGGTGGTTCTACTCGGGGAAATTTGTGATTTCAGTATAAATGTAAAGTTTATTCATTTTTATTGAAATAGTAACTACTGAATGTTTATTGGGGAAGATAAATATTTAATGTTTAGTACAAAATATACCTTAGTTATAGAGATAATTTATGACAACTATTTGTGGGAACTACACCCCCGTCAATAGTTGTAGTCACACCAGTGAATTTCCCCACCAAGTTTGAAACCAAACCTACGCCATTAGGCGGATGACCAATGTCCTGCATCATCATCACTGTCTTTAGACATGCTAGCAACAACTAATAGTGGGTAAAAAGTGAGAAAAAAAGAAGAAGTGAGAAACCTTGAAGGCCCTCATGGAGGGAGGATACGCTCCCACGAACAGGCTATAGAACCAGGAGAGAGGCCACGCGGTGCAGAACTGATGCAGATCCCAGAGGAGAGGAGAGGAGGAGGAGGAGAGAGGACAGCTGAGAATAAGGAGAAGAGGGGAGAAGAGAGGACTGTAGTTTTTGATCTGAATGTATTGTAACTTCTCCCATGCTTTTCTAGGAGTCCGCCAGCTCGTCAAGCAGTTTGGGACAAAGGCTGAAGAAAAGCCGCTCAGTTCAAAGCCGCGAGGAGCACGACGCGCAGAAAGAGCCGCAGGACCCCGCAGTGCGCCCTGAGGAGGAGCGCGGCCGTCAAGGGAGACAGTACGGCCTTGTGGATCTGTCCGAGCTCCACCTGAAGATGCTCTGCACCGAAGTGTGGCCCGTGCTGGCGGTGATCGGAGGCGCAGACGCGGGGCTGAGGGTGGGAGGCCGCTGTGTGCACAAGCAGACTGGGCGCCACGCCACGCTGCTGGGAGTGGTGAAGGAGGGGAGCACATCAGCCAAGGTGCAGTGGGACGAGGCTGAAATCACCATCAGGTACTGGGACAGAAAAACACACACAGCTATGGTGCTGTGGGAGGGAGCACTCATACTTACGTGTTGTCATTAGAGTGTACACACCCAGGGTTAGGGTTAGACGACAGAGAGGGAGACCAGAAAGGGAGACCAGAAAGGGAGACCAGAGAGGGAGACCAGAGAGGGAGACCAGAGAGGGAGACCAGAGAGGGAGACCAGAGAGGGAGACCAGAGAGGGAGACCAGAGAGGGAGACCAGAGAGGGAGACCAGCGCGGGAGACCAGAGCGGGAGACCAAGCGTGGGAGATCAGGCCTGGGAGACCAGGCCCGGGAGACCAGGCATGGGAGACCAGGCATGGGAGACCAGTGCGGGAGACCAGTGCGGGAGACCAGAGAGGGAGACCAGAGAGGGAGACCAGTGCGGGAGACCAGTGCGGGAGACCAGTGCGGGAGACCAGTGCGGGAGACCAGTGCGGGAGACCAGAGAGGGAGACCAGAGAGGGACACCAGAGAGGGAGACCAGAGAGGGACACCAGAGAAAAACTTTTTTTAATTATTTTTATGAAAGGTAGTGTACAGTATTCTTGCATTCAGGTCTCAGTCAAGATGTAGCCACGCAAGATAATGATAAATAAAGAATAAAATAAAAATGAAAAAAAGTAACCAAAAAGAAAGGATGGATAAAATGAAAGATTTGTTATACATATACATATAGCGCATCTACCTACACATGGTTACACGGGCACATACATACATGCATACACATACATGCTCACACACACATATAAATATATATACACACACGTATACATAAAATGTGTCTGGCTATTGTTACATTAACTCATTCCTTTCCAATTGGAAATTAAAGTATACATGGCATTTTTAAAAGTTCATAATACAAATAATGATATCTTAAATACAGCCAATACCTACATACATACATACATGCAAAAGTGTCCTGAGACCTATACTGCCCCACACTGTATATGTTATTTCATTTTATTTTATTTATTATTATTATTATATTTTTTTTTCCACCCCTGTGCTTTTCCCTGCCCCCCCATATTATTCATTTTTAATAGGGCTGTCAAATGATCATCAGTGATTGTTGTACAGCTTACAAGAAGTTGTGCTAATGCTAATGGGATGCATATAGGCGGGTCATTTGGCACATGCGTTAAATGCGTTAATTATTTTAACGCGATTAATGAAAAAAATTCATCAACATGCGTTGATGCGATTATTTTGACAGCCCTTATTTTTAAGTATCATTCCAGAAACGCAGCCAAACATTTCTTGATGTATGATTTATGAAATACTGTCCTACATCATCACTTCTTCCTTAGCATCTGATCTCATAACATTGAGTATTCCAAGCTGTTTCCCTCTCCACACTTTGGAATTTTGTCCTGTTCTCATACTTTAACAGTGTATTGTAACGATCTCAGGTTCTGTGTAACTCTCATGCACATAGCTAACCCCCCAATCAAACACTACTGTGGTTTGTGATTTGTTGTGATGTGGCTCGATTATGCATGTAGACCTGCTGCTTCCTGCCCTCTCCCTTACTTTTGTGTTTCCTGTCCCTTCCCCGTACCCAAAAATCCCTCCGAACTAAAGCTTCCCAACTTTCTGGTCACCTAGTGATACTCCTTTATACAACCTGGAGCCGTGCGAGCCGCTTCTGTTTGATGTGGTGCGGTTCCGGGGCTTGACCGCAGCCTTGCTCCTGGACCTGACCTACCTGACAAGCATTCACGAGGAGAGCAGCGCCAAGCTCAGCATGCAAAGGCATTACAAAAAGCACAGGGCCACAGCCTCCATGGGGCACGAGCAGAGCAGTGCTGAAGCCGAGTCCGATCACAACGAACCCAAGGACTGTCGAAACACGCCGCCGTCCGAGCTCCGTGTCTCCCACAGCCTGGATGAGGTCAAAGCTCATCTGAGGCCCAAGTCTGAGGGAGAGATGTCTTGTCTGGGGTCCGACAATCCATTTGGGGCTCACCTGCCAGAGGCAGGCAAGAGGAAGGGGCAGGAGCACGGGGGGAGGAGCCATGAGTGCACCTCAGCGGCACAATCAGAGACCCACGCCGTGCAGCTGTCGTATCTGTACCTGGGAGCCATGAAGGCCCTGAGCGCTCTGCTCAGCTGCAGCAAGTATGCAGAGCTGCTGCTCATTCCAAAGGTAACGCACCAGTCTATTCACCACTACAAGATTATTTGTATAGCTCAGGTTGTACACAAGGAAAGCTCAAAGTACTGGAAAAAAACAATAATAGAAACATTCAAATCATAATCACATAATAAATACATTAAGTACAATGGTGTGTAAATAGTATATATACAGTACTCGTTAGTCAATCTGTGAGACCAGAGAGAGGGAGCAGAGGGAGCAGAGAGAGCGAGAGAGCAAAGAGAAGGAGCAGAGAGAGTATCTCTCTAGTGTGTCATAGAGATTACGTTTTCCTCTTTTTAATGATTTGTGTCGAACATGACCCTTTCATATATAAGTTTCCTTGCTGTTGATCCTCAGATTTCTCCAGAGCCTGCTCCCTCTGGCCATAATGCAGATTTGAGCTCTGCTGGAGTGCCCCCTGGTGTCTCGTCTCCCGTGTGTCCGGAGGAGGTGGAGATGAGGGCTGCTCTACAGTTCCTGATGAGGCACATGGTGAAGCGTGCTGTCATGAGGTCTCCCATCAAACGAGCTTTGGGCCTGGCCGATCTGGAGCGTGCTCAAGCCATGGTCTACAAGCTGGTGGTGAGCGGGCTGCTGGAGGAGCCTCAGGCCGGGAAGACCAAGCCTGGTGAGCCCTCTACTGCACTGCCTTCTACTCTACTGCCCTCTACTATACAGTGATCTACTCAACTGCCTTCTACTTCCCTCTACTAATGATAATTTTAATAATAATAACACAACAAACTTATATTGCGCTTTTTGGGATACTCAAAGACGCTTTACAAAACACATAAAAATAAACACTAAAGAACAGCAAGCTGAAATAGGTGGGTTTTGAGAAGTGATTTGAAGTTCTGTCGTGAGTCAAAGTTTCTGATGGGTTGTGGGAGTGAGTTCCAAAGAGTGAGGGCAGCTGAGGCGAAGGCTTGGTCCCCCAAAGTTTGGTGTTTAGTTCTGAGAGGAGTTAGGAGATTGGAGTCTGTGGATCTGAGGCGGCGGGTGGGAAAGTGATGATGGAGGATGTCAGTGAGGTATGAAGGGGGCAGGTTATTGAGGAACTTGTAGTTAAGGACGATGAACTTGTATTGGGTGCGGTATGGAACGGGGAGCCAGTGGAGTTGTTTGAGGACGGGGGTGATGTGGTCTCTGGGGCACGTGTGGGTGAGCAAGCGTGCAACAGAGTTCTGGATGTATTGTAGTTTTTAGAGATATGTGGAAGGGAGACCATAGAGGAGGCTATTGCAATAGACGAGTCTGTAGGTGATGAAGGCGTAAACAAGTATTTCAGCAGTGCGAGGGCAGGAGACGGGCAATGTTGCGGAGGTGGAAAAAATATATTTTGGAGATGCGTAACTTCAGACACCCTCTGAATGACACTATGGCTGCTCAGAGGAGTAATCGTAGCAACAGGCTTATATCACTGCGCTGCCGAACGGAACGTTTTAAGAGATCCTTTGTTCCTTCGGCTGTCAGACTATTCAACAGAGCTGGATGAGTCTTCTGCTGCTGGATTCCTGAATTTCTCTTACGGGATCAATAAAGTATCTATCTAGCTATGAGGTTGATGTGGGGTTTAACCGAGAGGGTTGAGTCCATGGTAACGCCGAGCATGCGCACAGAAGAGGATGGAGTGACTGTGTGGCCACCAATGTTGAGGGAAATGTTTTGAGCAGAGGGAAGGAGTGACTTGGTTTTGGTGATGGGAAGTTCTGTATAATTACTATTGAGTTTTAGAAAATTGTGGTCCATCCAGAATTTGATGTCTGTGATCCAGTGTGTGATGGTGGAGAGAATGATTGGGAAGAATTGGTCAAAATGTGGACCAGGGTGTCGTAGCAGTGAAAGAGAAGTCCATGGTGACGAATTATGTGGCCAAGGGGAAGCATGCAGAGGATGAAGAGGAGGGGTGGATATCCAAACCTTGGGAAACACCAGGGTAGGTGTGGATCATGCAGTTGTTAATGGCAACTATTGTCAAAAATGACGGACGTGTCTCAGAATTTGATACAGAAATAAGGAGACCCAATAATTCAGAGTTTAACAGTATTTAATTATCTTTACAATCAAATACAAAACTCAGAGCTCATATCCTGACTATCCTATCCCTGGTCTCTCCCTATGTGAGCTGCCTAACAGAACGTACAGAACAGTTGTATGAAATTTGTACAGGAAATTCCAGACATCATCTGGCTTCATTACAGACTTCTGATACCGCTTTTCCACAGTATCAGTACGGTACAGTACAGTACGCTTCAGCACGGTTATTTTGCGTTTCCACTAGTAGATGGTATGGGAGATTTGTGTACTTTTCCGTACTGCCTCAGCCTTGGTTCCATCCCAATTTTACCCGTGCCATGACGTCACGTCAGCCCACTGCCTTACACTGATTGGTCAACGAGTGTCGTCACTGGAAGCGACATCTGACACTTTGGGAAAAACAACTCAACCGCCATCTTTAAAACCGGCTGCTCTGCCCGGCTCTGCTTCGGCTACATTACGTCCTCCTCACTCCAGAGAAATGGAATCACACAGAAAGCCCCAAAAGTCCTGGTCCTGGTCAGTGGACGAGGTCCACACGTTCCTCTCTTCAGGCCAAAAGAAAGAATTCAAAGGCAGCTTGAGGCTCAACACAGTTTTCAGGGAGATCACCCAGCTCTGGATTTGGGACTAGTCTGTGGTAATCCTGGAAATAACTGGTTAGCTACAAATCCCGTTAAAGCTCTCACTGAAATGTATTTACTGTGTAAATGCTCGATTGTCTGTTGTACACAGTGAGCTAGCTACAATTAGCTTTATTTAGCTATCGATAGCAGCTAAGCTAACGTCCTCCCTGTGCTACTGTGCTTTATCTCGTAATATCTGCAGTATTCACATGTTGTCATTCTGTTTTATGCTTGTATTTAAGTTGTCGTGTGTATATTTGTATGAGAATCCCTTCCCATAAGTGTGGAGATTACCAACGAGTAATGAGTGACCGGAGTATTCTCATCTGGACCTGGTCTGGACCTGGTCTCAGACATACGTACTTTTGACTTTGTAAACTATTGGTTTTGCACTTTACTTTTGTTTTCAATAAATCTGTGATTGTATCCCAAGACTGTGTTTCATTCATTTATTATTATTGTAGCTGAGGTTTGGGTATCGATTGTTTGTCTGGTCTCGGAGTCTGCTGTAGTCCGGACCCGAGTCCGGACTAGCCTAGCCTAGCTTAGCCTAGCGTAGCCGCTAACTCGCTACCCCTATGGCTGCCGCTGTCTCTCCCTCGGTCCTTTACTGCTCGAGTTGCCATATGACGAGTTTAAACCCTGGATCCTCCTCTGAGGGTAGTGATTAGGGTTGCCAACCGTCCCTTGAAATACGGAATTGTCCCGTATTATAGAAACACTATGTGCGTCCCGTATTGAATCGATACGGGACGGCTTTTGTCCCGTATTTTCAGAGCCAACTTGAATGCATCACTCACTGCATGTCACACGCGCGACCATAGACTGTATTCGCTTGACACACGCACACAAAGTAATCACAGTTTAAGCGTCTACCTTTCGGCCAATCAGTGTCAAAGGGGCGTAGACTTGATCACATACATTGGTTTAATGTTGACAATCGCCAGCGTGGGCCGCTCCCGCAGCATCATCACAGCAGAAGTTTGGTAAAGTAGCGTCATATTCCCAGAGTCGGACTTCCGCAGTCAATAGTTCACAAAAGCTACTTTGTTAAAAAAAAGTCACTGTGCTAAAATGATCATCTCTACGTTGTTTTTTTCAAATCCAGTGCGCTGTTTTAATGCAGAGAAATCCAAGCGCCGAAAAAAGCACTAAGGAAGCGTCAACAAATGTACAGACCAGCTGTAAACGAACAATAGCTTTTACTGAAGCCATGTACACGCACTAAACTCTCAGGCAATATACATAATGACCATGTCTAACTGCTACAGGCTTTGATTTCAACATTTGTGAGTTTTTTTCATAAATACATATGTTTTTCTTTTTTTATTTGCTTTTACAGTAAATGGTCTTTACTGTAATGTAAGTTACAGCATTTGCCTTTTTTATATTCTTTATTAGTAATAAGAATGCATTAAGTACTCAATATTCAATTTCATTTTTGACTAAGGAGTTGTTTTTTTTTTATATGTAGTCAATAAATTACATTCTAAAAACTGATTATGAAATTCATGATTACTGTGCTCAAACCGATCCACCCAAATGGTGTCCCTTATTTTTTTGTTCTCAAGTTGGCAACCCTAGTAGTGATAGATGTGTTAAGTGTAGTATAGTAGTAGTAGCTTTGGAATCCAGGGTTAGTGAGTGAGCAGAGTCTCGCGCTAGCGTTAGCATTAGCTATAGCCTAACAGTATCCTCGGACATGCAGCCCTCCTCCTCTGCACACTGCTACACAGGCTGCTGTTGCTAAAGGTCCATTCAGATTGTACAGAGCAGTCAGCACCATTGACTTCACAGTGTCCGAGTCATTCTCTTAAGACATAAGCATTTTCAAAAACTACTAGTGCTGTGCAAAATTTTCTATTAAACACTCTGATAAAATAAATCCATGCACCGCACCAGTACTAGTTACGCGTCACACGTAAATGACGTGGTCTGACAACGCTGAGGACATATTGGGGGTACTATTTTTTATGGAAAAGCACGCGAACTGGGCCATGACGCGCCGTGTAGAGTCAAAACGTACCGTACTAGGACTGTGGAAAAGCGGCATGAATCCGGCCTGGACCCAGATGTCTGGATCTGTCCTCGTCCAGCCCCATCTCCTGTTTGGTGGGAAAGGAAGACTCCCTTCTTTGAGAGAAACATATTCAATGCTATCTATTGTCTATTGTTTTTGCTGTAGACTCATTGACTTCAGACTAATATGAAAACACTTTTGATATAAGTCTATACAATTTCATGATTAAATATAGAATTTTACAAGTTGTTAAATGGTGACACATCACAACATAAGGATGACGATCAGAGAGGTAAGCGGAAATAAGCGGCCAATAGATTGTAAACTGTGGAAGAGGATGGAATGGTTGATGTTATCAAATGCAGTGGAGAGGTCAAGGAGGAGGAGGATGGAAAGGGAACCAGGGATTCAGCAAGAAGGAGGTTGTTTTGGTGCTGTGATGAGGACGAAAACCAGATCAGAATATTTCAAAGAGGGTGAAGGTGAGGAGGTATGATTGGATTTCTGCGTTCTACTGCCCTCTACTGCCTTCTAACCTAATGCCTTGTACTTATACCACTTAGTGTGTACATGTAGAAGTATCACTTGTACCACACCTGTTCATGTCTTCATGTGTTCTTATTTCCATATTCTCATATTCCTGTAATGTCATTCTAACATGTGTAGTGCGCAGTGAACCAGAGGGGGAGATGGAGGGAGTGGAGAGGGAGCAGACAGCCCAGACCCCAGTCACCACAAGCCCTTCTGCTTCCAGCACAACCTCCTTCATGAGCTCTTCTCTGGAGGACACCACCACAGCCACCACCCCAGTGACCGACACGGAGACTGCTCCAGCCACCGAGTCACCAGGGGTCATGCCCCTCAGCCTGCTCAGGTCCCTAAGAAACACAGTATAATGCAATGTGTAAGAGATCAGAGAGAGAGACCAGAGCCAATTCTAAGATCCTTAGATAAATACAGCCTGAGCAGAGATACTGTCCTGATGAATCCTTGGACATAACACATTCCTCCTAAACTCCAGTCTCTCTTCTTATCCTAGACAAATGTTCTCGAGCTACCCCACCACCACACCGGGGCCGACCCGCAGAGCTCAGACTCCTCCGGTAGCCTCCCTCCCCACATCTCCCTCTGACGAAGTGGGAAGAAGGCAGTCCCTCACCTCCCCAGACTCCCAGACGTCCAGAGCCCAGAACAGGACCGGCACCTGTGAGTACCCAGGACACCACTCTCACCCACTTCACCCACCATGACACCACTATCACACACCCACCAGGACGGGCCCACTCTCACCCCCCTCACCTGGGACACCCACCAGGACAGGACCACTCTCACCCACCTCTCCCAATATCTGTATTTTACAGCAGGTCTCTCTTGTTATCTGTCATATGCCTTTTGTATCTCTCTCTGGTCTCACTCTGGTCTCTATCTCTAGTCCTGCCCTGGTCTCTCTCTCTCTGGTCTCTCTCTGGTTTCTTTCTGGTCTCTCTCTGGTCTCCCCCTCTCTTGTTCCTCTCTCTCTCTTTCTCTCTCTCTCTACTCTCTACTCTCTACTCTCTACTCTCTCTCTCACCAGTTTGACACCCCCATGTAACATGTATGCCTGTTAAAACTGTAAATATGTTTGCGGCCTCAGCCTTGTCGGACCCCACGAGTCGTCTATCCACATCTCCTCCTCCTCCAGCCATTGCTGTCCCGCTGCTGGAGATGGGATTTTCTCTTAGGCATATCATCAAAGCCTTAGAAGCAACAGGTAAGATGAACTCTCCTCAATATAACAGAAAAAATCTGGTAAAACTGAGCATCTTGTTGTTTAAAGGTCCTTTTTCATGTTTCACAGTCCATCCTACGCACATGTGTGATAATAACTTGGGGGATACACCATATAAAGCTCAAAACTTGTGAAATTATAGCCATTTCTTGAATAGAAGTGATGTGACATCAATTAAAACGAGTGGATCTCTTCTCCTTTGCATGTGAGCCCGCCTCTCACCACCCACGTGGTGATGTACCCCAGACTACAGTCTGCCTCCTCCCTCCCACTCGGAGATGTAGCCTCACGCTGACTTTGTTGTAAAAAAACGGATTGGTTTTTTTTTTTTTTTCAGATACATGACCTTAGAAAAAACTTTTTTCCAACAAAGGCGATCCGTCACGTTAGGGCGATATGGCCCACCCCTATATGGCGATATGAAATTCATATTGTGGTATAATTTGGGACAGACGGTTAACAGTATATATTGCGGTATCATTTGGTGTGTGAATTTCAATATAGGTCTAGCAGGTTCTTACATAAAAAGTCAAGATTGTTACTTATTTAAAATTTCAATTTTAGAGCTGGATAATGTTTATTTGTTTGACACTTTTAACATTTCCTTGACATTTAGTGTGTGACCTAGAGAGGGCGCCATAAAACCATCCATTTGTAAATTCCATTGTTGCAGTAAACCAGGGATTAAAGAGTTCCGTCTAGGTGACGGATTTCCGTCAAAGGAAATTGGTCTGAAAAAAAAAAAAAAAAAAAAAATATATATATATATATATATATATATATATAGAATAATAATAATACACACAATGAAATGGTTAATTATGAAAAATACACACGTATATGTATCACTGTATATCTGTTATATATATCTATACATATATAATAATAATTTGAATATAATTGTATTTATATGATTATAGAAATAAAAAGTATTATAATCATGAGTGGGCCTTGAACGTGCCGGGGCTAGCTACATGAGCGCTCCGCAAATGAATCAAGGCAATGGGACGTAGCTGAACTCACGCGCAAATGAAGACGCGGCCAAATTAGCAATGGTAACACGGAGGTGAAAGTTTCTGGAAAGTGCACGGAGCTTTTGAAAAGGAGAAGAGGAGATGGAAAATTGAATCCCGAACAGAGCAATAACAGTCAGCAGCCCCGCTGACCGGTAAGCTGGGCGCGTTATCAGAGGAAAGGTAGGACATAATTAATTAACGTTAACCAAACACAATGCTATTTTATTTAACGGAATGTACAATACGTACTTTGCTGTGACTGGGAATGGGGACAAACATGTCTTGGTGAGCTTTTGATAATTTCTTGTTTGCGATCCGCATGCAAAACTCAGCGTGATATAAAAGAGCCAATCAACAAGAGCGAACGGAAGAAACTGGATGAGGTGGGAGATGATTGTATTCTGTTGCTTCATGGTGCAAAAAGATGAAGGTGGCTGGTGCTTGTACTGTATGCGCGTACTTTGCCATTAAAAATAAATGGTAGTAATGGGAAATCAGTTTTGATTCGCCACCAGCTCGAAACTGCGCACGAGGCAGGTGTTCGTGTTCTTTCCCCACACTTCACCTTTACCTGGTGAATCAGTGACAACTGCGACTAGGCTTGCTATGGCGGACCGTGACTGTGACCTAAAGCCACGCCTACTTGCGCGGCGTGGCTTACGTTAGCGGTTGCGGTGGACCTACGTAAGCACAATTGATGTTATACTGCCGCGTTCCCCTCACGGAGTTTTGAGGAGAATGTTGTAATCTCACAACAAACCACATGAGGGCGATCACACAGGAGCGGTCCCATTTACGCTGCTACTTTGTCCTCTTCAGAACAACAATAGCAAACAAAGCTGTTTGAGCTCATTACACGTGTTTCTACTGTAGGTTTATGTGATAGTTTTATGGATTCATTATTTTATAAGTCATTTCAACTGTGATGCTGTGAATAAAGACACAGTTTTTGTTGGAAACATAGTTATTATTAAATAGTTTTCAGCACAAACAGCAAAACAATAATAGTGGTAAATATCTGAGGCAAACATGAACGATTTACGAGTGCAGGAGGAAAGCAACGAACGCAGCTACGATTCAAACAAAGACAGGAACAGTGCAAAACAAACGACTGTACAGTTTTTATGTTATATATATATGTTAGATAGTCCACAGTCTCCTGTATATCAGGCTCTGAGCCCAAACTGCTTTTCCTTCGAAGCGTGAAGCAGTCTGCTCCATAGTGCCTCGTCCATGTCCCTGCTGCAGCCGCTCCGTGCTTCCTTCCAATACACATACACGGACCAATCACAGCGGAGCTTCCTTGCGGCGACCCTTACGTAGTTAGAACATTTCTATGCTGCTCGGCAGGCAACCTAAGGGCCTTGCGGTGACCAACGCGTTGCGCAAGTGACGTCACGTCACCTCAGTAAGCTCCGCGCCGCGCGAGTATACACTAGGCTTTAGAGTCTGTGGCTTTATCCCAGAAAATAATATGTCGTTCAGAATATCACTGCTGCTGGTAGATATAATTAAATAATTTGCGGTTAGGGTTAAATTCATTATACAATAATATATTGTAATTAAGAATATAACTTTGTCCTGCATATGACTGTGATTTTTACATGATAATGATGTAATAAATTTCCATGAGAACATTTTCAGTCAAATCTTTTTTTTTGCTTTAAACCCTGCAATAAACAATAATAATACCAATCCCATTATCGTACATTCATACATACATACATTGTCAAGTCTCGTTAAACACATTTATTTATTAGTTAAACAAGTAAAGGACAGATAATCTTATCAAGAATTAAACTGTCTATGTGTTTGCCTCATTTCCTTGTGCCTTTGAACGCATCTGGGCGCTAGCTGCATGGCTACTAAAGGTATTTTTTTCTTTTAGCTTTTTTTCCGCCATTTCTCGTAATAAACCTTGATACATTTGTGCTCAAATCAATATATATTCTGTATATAACAACATAAACTGTTTACATGTTTATTTACACTTTTTGCGCAAACTGAACTTCTGGACGAATCCAGTTTCTGGGACAAATCCAGCAGCCACACTCCTTGTGGTTGTTGCCGGTCCCAGCAGGCCAAGCGTGTTGCAATTTGATGACATAATGACCTATCGCAATATGCCGGTATAACAAAAATCTCTATCTGCAGACCAAAGGCCCTGGAGGAGGCCATTAGAGGTGGTATGTAGCATAAATGGTGGATAATTTGCTCGGCCAAAAGTAATGGTGAACAGAGTCTCTGTCGTGAACCTAGAGAAGTTATGGCAGTAACAGTACAAAAACTATTTCCCAGATGTCCAAGTTTCTGGACAACTTCTGTAAAGCAAGTGAATGGGCACTATCAGATAAGCTTACCTCTGAGGCAAAGAAACGTCAGTATGCCTAATAACCGCAAGGTGGTTGAACAACGCTTAAACAATCTAAGATAGATAGATATATACTTTATTGATCCCTGTAGGAGAAATTCAGGTGTCCCGTAGCAGCAAAAATAAAATTGATTATTCTAAAAAGCTAATAATAGTATTAATCAGCCACAGGTCTTCAGGTCACAGCAGCAAAGAAAGAGTAGCCTCTGAGTGGAGCAGGAAAGGTCACAGCAGCAGAGATGCAGTAGCCAATGGGTGGAGCAGGACGGGTCACAGCAGCAGAGGTGGAGTAGCCTCTGGGTGGAGCAGGACTGGTCACAGCCGCAGAGGTGGAGTAGCCGCTTGGTGGAGCAGGACGGGTCGCAGCAGTAGAGGTTGAGTAAATAAATGCTGGATGGAGCAGGACAGGTCACAGCAGCAGAGGTGGAGTAGCAGCTGGGTGGAGCAGGACAGGTCACAAGGTGGAAAAGCCGCTTCGTTTGGACCATTTTCTCTGCTCTAGTCCAACGTAAAATGCTTCATTTGCATTGGGCGGCACGGTGGTTGAGTGGATAGCACTCTCGCCTCTCAGCAAGAAGGTCCTGGGTTCGAATCCCGGTCGGACCAGGGGCTTTCTGAGTGGAGTTTGCATGTTCTCCCCGTGTCTGCGTAGGTTTCCTCCGGGTACTCTGGTTTCCCCTACCACTAAAAATATGTACAATAGAGTCTAGGTTATGGCACGGTGCTGAGCAGACGTTGGGCAGATCCCTCCCCCGATTCTTTTGAATTATTTAACCACCTATAACCACTTACACCTCCACAATTGAATATATTGTGAGGGGGAAGGATTTATCCACAAAATGGCACCACCGAAAGGATCGAAGCAAGTACCTAAAACTCCGAGATTGGACTCCCAGATTGGATCTGAGCAACAAGCTAGCCCCAATGGAGCTAACACGGGAGGCTACAGCTAGCGATGCAACACTTGTCTCCGCGTACCAGGCAATAAGGGAGGACTTTGTTTCGAGATTCAATGTGATATTAGAAGAAATTTTAGAAGAAATAAGAGGATGTCAACTCGAGTCTCTGAAGCCGAGGAAAGGATCGGAACGAATGAGGATGATATAGCAATGCTAAAGGCTGCTAACGAAGCTATGAGAGCGGAGCTGGAAGCATTGTCACGTAAGACCGATGACCTGGAGAACCGCAGTCGGCGTTCTAATGTCCGATTGATTGGCTTTCCAGAGAAAGTTGAAGGAAAAGATATGTGTATGTTCTTAGCTAAGTGGATCTCTGAGACGCTCGGAGCTGAAAACTTTGAGGGTTCGCTACCATTCCTCATTGAAAGGGCGCATAGGATTGGGAGGCCCCGAGACGCGGATTCATCCGTGACATTGTCACATCCAAGATCGGTGATAATGAAGTTCTTGAACTATGCTGACAAGACCAGACTAATGGTGGCCGCAAGACGCAAAGGCTTGGTTTATTACGAAGGAAAGAAGATAATGTTTTTTCACAATATCTCAGCGGTGCTTCTTAAGCAACGTGTCGCCATCCCTGATCTACGATTCGGCATTATCCACCCTGCTAAGCTGTTGATAACTGTCCGGGGGAAC